CTTATCACCAAAGAGAATTTATTGCACCACTGACAGATGCTGAGATTCAGAAACCAAAGCCAAAGGGATTGAATCAGAAAACAAAAAACAAACAAAAAAAAAAAAAAAAAAAAAAAAAAAAAAAAAAGAAAAAAAACCCAAAACCACATCCTACCAAAACAAGTCACTTGACTGCACACATCGCATGTGCATCTCTCCACAGGGAGAGGACAAGAGAGCCTGAACTCCCACGACAGATGTCAGGCAGTCCATTTTGGGCACTCCTGGAAGCTGCTCAGGTTCTGCAGTGAGGAGCTTAGTAGGGGAAAACAGAGAGAAACTTCACTAAAAGAAAAAAAAATGCCCTACCAACTTCAAAGGAGGGGAGAAAGACACATCTCACGGAAAAGAGGCCTTGAAATCAGGCACTCTTAGTATTAAGGTCACTTTAGTTATCAGACACAAGTCACTCGTGTTGCAAAGTGGGTGCCTGGGCTTTCCTTCTTGCTTCTCTCCCATTTTTCTAAAGATGTGTCTTCCACAAGGCTATGAACCTTTTTTCCTTATATATAACTTTACTAATCATCAGCATTAAGTAGCTGAATTCATAGGTGCTTTGCCTGTTTGCAAGAAGGAATGTGACGGGATTTATCTGTTCTGGATAACAAGGGGCTTCAAGTAACTTTATTTCCTGATTTAACGGTCATAATTTATGTACTGCGCACAAAAACATGACCATTTGCATGTCTTCTTTGCACATCTATACAGCAGCAAAACTGCTTTATGCATATGAATAAATATATGGTATCTGTGTCTGTAGCTCAGCCCAGCAGCTGTACTTCACTCACAAGCTTTGCTTTAAGGCATATGCATGAACACAATATTCTGATGTATACCTGCCTCTCCCACTATATGAATCTACTCCTTTCCAGGCAAAGGGAAATGTAGGTATACACCAACACAGTCATAAAGAGGTCTCTCAGCTGGAAGCATTATGAAAAGGAAGACATGCAATACCTTCACCTAACATCTCCAGAAGTGTTTTCTCAAGTAAGGAGAGACTGATGACAGATTTCATTCCTATGCACTGAATTGGCTCTTTCCAAAAACTTGCAGCAGGCCAAGTTCTCCCACAGCAGCAGATTCCAACAGTGGGAAAAACAGTCTCAGGACACCTCCCGTTTCGTCGCTCACAAAAAGCTTATGAAGAGCCCATCTCCCATTTATGGAAACCAGGAGATATTTTGCCATTTGCATTTAAAAAGAATGGCATCGAATACTGAATCAAATACACTTTAGGAGTATCAGCACTCATGTGAGTTACAGCCATGGCAATCTGCATGAAATAGCACTGCTGATAAGATAAGAACCCAAGTCACAGTACCAGCTCTTTGTTAATTATAAAGTCAATGAAGAAGCATCTGATTGAGCTGCCAAGTATAACAAATTCATTCCCGCCAGGATGAAGAAAAAGTGTTCAGCCTGATTCTGCAGAGCCAGAGTGACATCTGGAGGAAAAGCCAATGATACGCTTATGGGGAGATCCTCACAGAGCAGATTCACACCTTTAAACTTTCCAAAGTCACAGAAAACAAACACAGACGCAGATCCTCTAATTATTTACCTGCTCTAACAAGTCTCCTCTTTTGCAGCTGCCACAGCTGGAAAAGCAGTCCTCTCAAATCTTGCTCCCATCAGTGAGCCTTGCTAGAAATGGGAAAAATAGGAAAAAGAGAAGTTAAATCAATGCCTCAAAACAATGTTTTCCCTCAATTCATTTTTTAGTTTTCATTTTTTTTTATTTTCCTCGAATTTTGTTTGAAGTATTTAAGGTGGTTTTTTTTGTTTGGATTTTTCTTTTAAGCCTTTTTCTTTTCCCTCAAAGAAAGGAAGACGTAGAAAACATAACAAAGTAACACTAAAATTACCATATAAGAGAACTGATACTGGTTAATGACTTTAAATAAGTTTGCTGCTCTTTATTTTTCTCTTAAATTACAATCTAGAGAATTACAATCATATTATTCAGGGACTTAAACAAGGTCTTACCCACATAAAAAAGAAGTAGAAATGCTTTGTTTATATTGTTCAGCTATCAGATTTGATCTCAGTAGGGAGAGTAAGGGCTGTCCACAGACAATATATAAGTTAATATTAATTCACAAACTCTTCTTATTCCCCTTTGTAAAAAAGACTTCCCTACATTTGTTTGCACAGGTGATTTTGGTGTCACTGGAAAGGCATAACACTTCTCACACGCATTTGTCTTTATATCCAGTCAAGCTTACCTGCCAGTAAAATTAGGAATACAGCACAGAAATCAAGGCACACTATCATTTACTGAAGGAGGTCAATTTAGTTCAAATCTGTCTTGCCCAGATGGCTAATTTCAATCATTTACGCATACAACACAATTGTTCAATAAGCTCAAAACAAATACTGGAAGTAATTAATTTAAAGCTGCCCTAATTGTTCTTCAATTTTCCCTAGCAGTTAAATCTGTAACAGTTCTTCCCTCAATGCTTCAAAGCTTTAGCTTAACAGCCAATTAAAGCTTCTTTTAAGGAAGTAGTGTCTTCTCTGACTACTTCTGACTGAACCCTTTCAAACACTTGAAATTTAATTTAAATGGCACAGGGCTTGGAAACCACAGTGTTTTCTCCCAGTACGATGTTCTCAGTGTATTAACAATTCAATGGACAGTTCAAAGTAATTCAGGTGTTAGCTTGGCAAGATCTTCTGTAGAAGCATTTTGCTTAACAAAAGTGACTCAGCACTCCAGTGAATAAGGAATCTCCTCATTTATCAGAGGGAGCAGACAAAAATACAGCTTCCACAACTCAACTTCACAACTGTAGTGAGTAGCTTCCCGGAATTGTCAGGATATGTTCACCCGAACTAACGTGGCAGCTATATTTATCCTCGTTTAAAACGCATGTCCGTGAACAGACACATATTCCCTCCCCATTCCCTGCCAGGAGCTGCAAATAAAAGAGCAAGCAGCAAAGGTACCGTCACGGTGATGAAATCCCTCCGGCTCGCTAGGTCCCAGCAGCCGCCTCTTTCTGAGGTTGGCAAATCAGGACACTTCCCTATTTTGAGCCCAGCTAATACAGATCGACCAGAAAGGAAGCCACAAGCCTAGACAAGTTTTAAAAAAACAAAGTGGGAAGCATGCCTAAGAATGAAAACAGAAGATAAAATAAAGAAATCTCCATTTCCAGTCTGAAACACTAGTTATTCTAAGCAAAAACATTTTTGTGGAGCAGAAAGAAAACAATTCATATGACTTAATGAAGCAAAAACTCTAAAAATAGAAATATCTACGGACTGCTAGTCTTTACAGGGAGAAACTCTAGACATTTAATCTCCACCACAAGCCAGGTAGAAAGGGAAATGGCAGGGCAGGCGGTGAGGGGAAACGGAAAAGAAATTAAGAAAAATGAACTAGTTAGTCATATGCTTAAGAAACACAGAAAGGTGAGAACATGAGAGAGTTACTTAAAGCTGTTTTGCTAAATGACTGCTATAAACACATTTCCACTGGATACCTCCCCTAAATCCTAGGATATACACAAAAGAAAAACGTACCCAGAGCACAAAACAGCTCAACATAAGAAGTAACTGTCTACTGGGTCTACAGACAGGAGAAACAATTTCAAAGAATTCAAATAAAGCATTTCGCTACCATAGGAGAACCTCTCACACTTGACACTTGTCACAGCTTTTTAGTTAAGTGCTGGCACATTTTGTTTCAAGGAGACAGATTTCTTTTAAGAGCACTGTATAACGTGCTGGAGAGGAAGGGCAGGTGAATTTGCACCAATCACTCTTCCAAACACTAGTGTTCACCTTTGAGAAATGAAGGCAAACATACAAACAGAGATTCTGCTGAAATTAGCTGAATAACTTATTTCTCCATTTTGTGAAATAGCTGACAACTAACCCATAACTACTTTTTTTTTTTTTCCTCTTTTGACTTAGGTAAAGTTGACTCTTTAGAAGAATCCTCTTCATCAAAAATAACTTTTTTTTGTACTTCAAGATGCACAGTAAAGAAGAAAATCAGTAACTTAATTAACTGGAACGTGATCTTACAAGATCCAACTAGGATTCCCACAATCAATAAGTAGTCTTAGTACTTTTTGACTTCATGTTTCTAGGTTTAAGCCTACGTCTCAGCAAGACTTGCAATGTTCTGGTCTACTGAACGACTCTGCTTTTTATTTTAAAAGCAAAATACAGTTCCCCATTAGTTCTCCGGAAATCTTAGCGAATGTTACTTCAAAATATCTCCAAATTGAGAATAATGTATTCCTCCATTATATAACATGTTACAGAGGGAACAGCTGGAATATCAGCTCTACCTGAGCTTATTGCTAAGAAGCCAAGCGGCTTTCTGAAGTACTTCATTCCTCCTTGAGCACTGACGGGGCAGCACATGCACAAGCCTGGGCCTAAGCGCTGCTCCCCAAAATGAAGACGCCACTCAGAAATCGGTCTTGATATGGCCAGTTCCCACGAAAAAATATAAAGGGGGAACAAGACGAAAATAAATAAATAATAAATGTCATCGTATGTGTCTAGCACAGAATAACCTCCTCACACCACAAGTATTCAAACATCAAATAGTTGACGGGTAGTACTGAAGACCGGGGACATAAAGCTTTGCTAGAGCTACGGGCCTCTAGGAAAGCGGGTGAGAGGATTTCACCTCAGGGAGCGGCGCCGCGAGCGCCCCCCTCCCGCGCGCGCGGCGGTTAACCCCAACGGTTTCGCCCAACGGCCGCTCCCAACGGACACGCCGCCGCGCGACGCAGTGACGCCACGGCGGGACCCACGTGCTCGCGGGCGCCGAGGGCGCAGGCGCCGCGCGGGCACCCACGTGAGGCGGCGCGGGGAAGCCGCGCGCCGTGACGCCATAGTCGCGCGACTGCCCAACGGTCGCAACGGCCGCGCGGCGCCCCCGCGGGTGGCCGGTGCGCGCGGCGCCGATGCGGCGCGGGGCGGGCGGGCAGGGCTGAGGCGGCGGCGGCGGGCAGGATGCACCAGAAGCTGCTGCGCAGCGCGCACTACATCGAGCTGGGCGGCTACCAGTACTGGCCCGTGCTGGTGCCCCGCGGCATCCGCCTCTACACGTACGAGCAGATCCCCGTCTTCCTCAAGGACAACCCCTACATCACGGACGGCTACCGCGCCTACCTGCCCTCCCGCCTCTGCCTCAAGAGGTGAGGGGCGCCCCGTCCCTGGCCGCGCTCCCGCCGCAGCGCCCGGGCCCCCCTCACCGCCGCCCCTCCGTGTCTCCCCTCCCGCAGCCTCTTCATCCTCTCCAACGAGACCGTCAACATCTGGAGCCACCTGCTCGGCTTCGTGCTCTTCTTCACGCTCGGCATCTACGACCTGACGGCTGTGCTGCCCAAGGCCGGTGCCTCCCGCGAGGACTTTGTCATCTGCTCCGTCTGCCTCTTCTGCTTCCAGGTGAGGCTGCCTTCCCACTAGCCCTGGGCTGGGGGACAACCCGCTGTCTGGGGGCAAGAAGGGTTTGAAGGCCCCTCGCTCAGCTGCCCAGTGTATCAGGCCCAGGGGAGGGGGAAGGAAGCCCTTGGCTGAAGCTGAGGTAGAACCAGGTGGGCTGTTGGGGTGTCCGTGCTTTAAGGGACCAGGTTCGCTCAGGTCAGTGCAGAGAAGGGGGGTACATGCAGAGGCAGCATCGGTTACTGCTGAAAAGGGGAGCGACGGGAAGACCAAGGGCAGGGGCAGCATGATGTAATTCTGCGATTGCACTTGCGCTCTTGCTTGAACCGTCACGATCGCACCTTGGGGGAAGGATGGAGCTGGTGGCTGTGGTAGGGAAGCTCCCCTTGCTTTCACCCTCCAGGAGTTCTTCTGGTCCTTAGTTATCCCAACAACCTCTGGTCCTTCAGTAACAAAGTGGCTGTGAGCAAGTTGCCGCAGACTGCAGTTGTCCTGATTTTTAGTAGACGCCTCTAGCCTCAAAATATTTGCCCCAGAAGGCTGTAGTCCCTAAAACGTGCATGCCTTACAAGACATTCTCGTGTTTATTCTCATTCCTGTTCCAGACAACTTAAGTCTGAAACAAAACCTGCCCAAATGAGTCCTTAATTAAATATAGGGAAAGTTCAAGTCTCAACAACAACCCAGATGCTTAGATGCTTTGTGTGATATGTAGAGATGTAGATGCTTAGTCAACATATATTTCAAAGCCAGTCAGATGACTTTTTCCAGGACAGTCTGGGAAACCCAGTCTTGTGGCAGCAGCACATGTAGGCAAGTTAAACAAGACGACTGTTACACATGTCGTTCTGTTGATAACGATTTGTTCTAAGTAAAGAAACATCTTCTGCGTCCTCTGAGCCAGCACACGTGTGTCTCAGAATAAATCTGTTGTCTTTTCAGCAGCAAAAACTGAAAATGTATCATCACTTTATTGCTGAAGCTCTTGTAAGATATACAGATCCTGAAACAGATCCTGATCAGCGTGTATAAATACCTCAAGGGAGGCAGTGAGGAGGAGGGGGGCGGCCTCTTTTCAGTCGTGGACAGCGATATGACTAGAGGAAATGGCTTCAAACTGAAGCATCGGAAGTTCCACAGGAACTTAAGGAAGCATTTCTTCACTGTGAGGGTGACAAAGCACTGGAACAGGTTGCCCAGAGAGGTTGTGGAGTCTCCTTCTTTGGAGATCTTTAAAACCCGCTTGGATGCAGCCCTGTGCCACGTGCTCTAGGTGACCCTGCGTGAGCAGGGGGGTTGGACTCGATGACCTCTGAGGTCCCTTCCAACCTTCGGCATTCTATGATTCTATGATTCTATGAAACAAGCATGCCAGGCCAACAACAAGCGTTTTGATAAAATGACTCTCATCAACGCTGTCCATGTATCTTCAAGAAGAGAAAAAGCCTTGGTATAACTAAACGTTCCACAATGATTAGGGAATTATTTTTGTCTTCCTTTCTCTACTCCTGTTGGTGAGATTCAGGATAATACGTCCCAGAAACGCCTGTGGGGCTTGCACAGACAAAGCAATGTCTGTGCATCACGTTGTGCAAAGTTTTCTGCTGCTTCTTCGGTCTGTCGGAAGCAGCTTCCATTGGTTGTGGTTGATTAGTGACAGATATCGAAATTATGTGACACTGAGGAACCATGCATTACTGGTATCAAGTTGATGTTGCGCTCAAACGTTTAGAGTCTGAGCTTGCTATAGTTGCTCTTGCTTTTCAAAAACTTAATGCATCTTTATTTGAATATTTGTGTAGGTCTGTATGCTTTGCTCAGTAGGATATCATCTCTTTTGTTGTCATCGCTCAGAGAAAACCAGCCGACGATGGATGGCGTTAGATTATGCAGGAATTTCCATTGGGATCCTGGGCTGCTATGTCTCAGGCGTGTTTTATGCCTTTTATTGTAATAACGTAAGTTTAAAGCGCTCATTCCTCTGACATTAATGCCTGTGCTCTCTCCCTGTCATGGTTCACATGGCTCAGGAAGGGGGTTTATTCCATAGCATACAAGTAGAGTATAGCCAGGAGAAAAGCAGTGGGAGCAAAGGGTTTCAGCTGGGTGTCAGCACAATTGTACCTGGTCCATTCATGGGCAAATGCCTGTTTATTTGTTTTAACCTGCCAACTGCACAAGTTTCAAAGAAATTTTTTTATGAAGTTCTAAGTTTATGAAGTGTAAAGTTGATGGGTTTTACCTTTTGTCAAATGCATAAGGCTGACTATGGGATATGTCCAGTTCACAAGTACATTAAACACCACTTCCTACAAGGTAGCTTGCATGGGCTTGGAACAAGCTTGTTGCTCATATGACAACTGCAAATAGTTTCCCTCTGTCTTAGGGTATATCCATGTTTGTAACTTGGCAGCTTCCTGATAGGCACCGTAGTCTATCTAAAGTAGCAACTGGTATTTGAACTACATCCCTTAGATAGAGGCATATTTAAAATGCCTTTTAATTGATGCTTTAGCACCTGCAGTAAGTGTAGTGCAGCCACAGGGTTCCTGGCCCCTGACAAACATTTAACAGGAGTCCGTTCATTCAGCTCCTCTCATTGGAGCTCACCCAAGTGATAAGGAGACTGATACATCACTGCTGTTAGTAACCCAATCTTTCTACCAGGAACTTATTTTTACACACAGTTAGAGGAAACCCACCGATTTGCTTTCGTTTCTTTTTTTCCCTTCAGTACTGGCGTCAGGTATATCTAATCACTGTGCTGGCAATGATCTTGGCAGTGTTTTTTGCTCAGATTCATCCCAGTTACCTCACGCAACAGTGGCACAGGCTGCGCTCCATCATCTTTTGCTCAGTGTCGGGATATGGAATTATTCCTACAATTCACTGGGTTTGGCTCAACGGAGGGATTGGTGCATCTATTGTACAGGTAAAAAATATATATATTTATATATATATATACAAAAAAATGACCTTTTGTTTTGCTCTCTGTCTTCCCTCAGCTCTCATTTTCCCTTTCACCCTTTTAGATTTCAGGAGGAAATAGTGGTCATGAAGTTTTTTAAGCAGAGGATTCCTTTGGATGGTATTACTTAAATGTAAATATTCAGATTTTTAAGCAGTAACCAGGCTGAAACAAATGTGACTACATCATATATATATATGTGTGTGTGTGTGTGTGTGTGTGTGTGTTCTTATATGTATATGCAAGTCAGATCACTTGCTCCAGGAGAGCCTGGGAAAGGGAGTCTTGCTTGGGCACAGACTGAGGTGAGAGCAGCAAGGCGAGGCCGACCGCACCCTCGCTGGAAGGCGCTTGTCAGGAGGAGAAGGGAGAGGAGGAGCAAGACGCCAGCGATGAAATGATAATTTGCTCCCTCCTCTGTTCCCACAACTTGTGGTAAAATCACTATCTGCATACACAGCGCTCTGCCTGTATACAACCCTCATTTAACATCACTGCGAGGTTATCCTACTATTTTCCTGTTATGCCACTTAAAATTATGGCTAAAGGGTACTCAGTTCTGCAAAACAGGAAGCACAGGAAAGCCAGAGGATGAAGTCCCTGTAATTACCTAGGGACATAATTATGCCCCAAACCACCTTTACTTTCCCTCAGCAAGCACTAACTGCAAGTTCTTAGACTGGCACTTTGTGAGAAGTGTCATCTAGGGCCATGACTTAACCTGATGTAGAGCTTCTCCTGCATTTATAAGGACAGGTAGTCTTTAGGCAAGGCACTTCACACTAGGCCTGTAAAAACCGGCTGAGCAGCTTTTTTTTTTTTCTTTTCCCCAGTGGAGTTTGTCCTGGTGTAGCAGAATGGTACATGCAGTGCTCACTGTGGTCCTGTGAGAACTGCTCTTGACAATAAAACTCCCTGTTAAAGCAAATGAACAAACGTTACCCTAGCAGTCACACTGGTTTGACCTTTGAAAAGCTACCACATAATATAAAATGTGGTTATGGTGTCGAAGTTACTGTCTGAGAAGTTTCCTTATCTCCCTCCTGTCACGACTGTGATCCAAGCTATTAAATGTGCTATTGAGACTCAGCTGTCTCCTCACTTCATCTGGCCTTTGCATAACATGAACAATCAGGTTCTGTTCCACTGCTGGGTAATGAAATAAAACTCAGTCTTGTCATGCCTTCCCTCTAGACTTCTCTACATTCAGTTTTTACCTGTTGCAGGAGTTTGCTCCACGTGTGGTTGTGATGTACTTCATTGCTGCAGTAGCTTTTCTCTTCTATATTTCCAAAGTCCCAGAGCGATACTTTCCAGGTATGAAATTTTCTTCCGGGTGTTTTTTATTTTTTTCCTTCGGTTAAGCTTCCTACAGTGTCAAATTCCTTGCTGTGAGTCCTGAACTTACACTGACAACATAAGTTGAATATGTTCTACAATAAATATTTTCATACAGAGTAAAAAGTTATTTGTAGTTAAATTGGAACAAGTTAGACAGTTTCATTTAACTTGTACTAAAGAGCTTAAGCTGAGTGAGAAGCTGAGGTTCTCAGTGATGGCTTATTGCATTGTGTGAGTTATTGCTGAATTTTAAGAACTGAACCAGTTTCCCATTTTCTTTCCAACAGGACAGTTGAACTACCTCGGATCTAGTCACCAAGTATGGCATATCCTCGCAGTGGTGATGTTGTACTGGTGGCATCAATCCACAGTTTATATCATGCAATACAGACACGCCAAGCCCTGTCCCGAGTATAGCATGGACTTGTGAGTGAAGGTCTAGCCGTTCTTGTGCCTGTGAGAAGGTAAAGTTCTAACATACATAGGATTAAAAAAATCAAGTCTCATTTTTATTACATGTGATTAAAAATGTAATCGCGTTATAATTAATCCTCCTCATGTTTTGAGTGCCGCCAGAGAAAGCAATGACTGGTGCAGTGCTTTTGAATAAATAAGTAGTCTGTTCAAGACCAAGTCCTGCGCCAAGCTATGCTGCCGGGAGGCACCAAGAACATGCCATGCCCACGGGCTGAGCTGTAGAACAGAACAGGCTGGACCTTTCAACTCTCTTTCACTCCTTTAAGCCTGTAAGAATGACTGTTCTTTTGTTCTTGCAAAGCCTTAAGATTGTGGGGGTGGTTTATTTATTTATTTTTGGCCAGTTTTAAGCTTACTAGGTATCTTTTTTAGAAATGAAGAGATTTATTTATTTCCTCTGGGTTTTAAATGGCAAAACGTCTCTCCTCTGTCTTTCAGAGGCATCTTACCACAAAGATATTTCTGACTATGAGCATCTGGACCTTACGTAGGTGCTGAACTATGAAGTTATGCACTGAGGCCGTTCCTCTCCAACTTCTCCAGTGATTCCCTACTTGCTGGGATGTGTAATCGAGCAGTTTTGAAGACAGCAACAAAGTCCAGGCCTTGGATCAATTTCCTTCTCCATCATTTCCTCGCTGGCCGTGAAGTACATAACAGGTCTTCCTGGAGTGATGGAGGGAAGTGAGATCAAGTGGAGGGATCACGGTTCCTTTGCTGATGATGGTAAAAATGAGCACTGAAATGTAAGTACGTGCTCTGGATGAGCTAAGAGACCCTCTGAGTGGTTCAGTGATTTGCAGGTATTTGTTCAAGTGTCAAGGACCCGGCTCCTAGCAGCATTCTTTTAAAAGCACTGGGAATGGTTGGACCTGATCTTGAATCTCAGCCACATCAGTCCGGTGTGCTCTATCTTTCAGCATCATTGCGTGATGTGCTTGTGCTTAAACATCAGTACAGTGATGTCTAAAATGGAAGTTAGTGGAGTCTTGTACTTTCTAGAAAAGCTTTTTTCCTTGTTCTCGGAAGATGAGAGCAGATATCATCCACTGTAGCTTTCATTGCACATCTTGAACAGGTCCCCTCACTGTGGACCTCACCGTTACTTTAGCAATTTCATCCAACACCTAGATAAATCCTGTAGGTACTTGTAAAATAATGCAGTTCTGAAATGTTCTGAGGGTAGCAGTGTTCAAGTTGTATGCACTTTTGACAGTTGCAAAGAGTTTGTTTTGTTTTGTAAAGAAGTTTGTCTTCTTCGTTTACAAGGATAAACAATCCACCCTATTTGATTTAGGGATACTGGTGTGAATCACTTAACCTGGCCTTTTCACATGATATATCATGCTGTACTTACAGCACTTTCTTACTGGGAAAAAGACTTATTGCCATAAGTTTTGTCACAGTGAAAATAATTGCCTTGGGTTTAAAAATAAAATGTAGTTCAACCATGCCTTGTAGGCACTACAGAGATTTGGAAGATAGAAGTTTTTGAGAGCTGCAACTCAGCTCCATGGGTGCCAGTTTTCCTAACAGGGTAGGAATTTTTCAGATTTTTTTTTTTTAATAAACATTTTAAGTGGCTTCTGTGGAACAGCTGCTTGTGTTTACAGTTCAGTTGAGCCGTGGTAGCAAATGCTGCTGCATGGCGTGATCAGGTGTTTGTTCAACATTTGTCAAGTGTTTTCGTTTGCATGCATCAAGATGCTGTTAATGCACAACGTGAACAAGCTGGGAGCAGAACAGTTGTAAGACATGATTGCATCAGTACGAGGCATGTCACAAAGCAGGTGAACCTGTAACTGCTTCTGCTATGGCTGCAGGCAGACACATTCTCTCCTGGGATCATCATGTGGTACAAAGAATCACAGAATGGTTGATGTCACAAGAAATCCATACCGTATCTGCAAGTGTGGCCTTCAAAAATGCACAAATCTTCACTCTTAGTGTGGAAATCTTGACAACAGTCACCCTGCAGCCCCTTGCAAGTGGCCTTCTGCCATTTTGAACAAGTTCTCTTACCCAAGAAGGCCAAGGAGATGACCAAGGGCATGGATGCGCCTCGCGCTGGGCTAGGAAAGCCGTAAACAACAACAGCAGAAGCTGCACGACCTACAAGAACATCTCTCGCCTGGCTTATCCTCTCCTGTTGCCTTTGTCCTCTGGCGTGTAGGGGTAATTTCCAAGAAGGTTTTAGCCCCTGTAGTGATAGTGTAGCCCAGCTCCCCCTTGGGCGGCATAGCCACCCAAAATGGTTTACGGGGAAGGGAGCTCCACAGGCCGCTTGTCCAACCTCCTGCGCAGTGGTACCAGCTCCAGACTGGGCTCTCTTTCATCAGACCTTGATTGGGAAACTTGCAAAGAGGACGACTGCCCAGCCTCGCTGGGGCCGCTTCCCCCTGCTTTACTGGCAGCACCCTTGGGGTGCAGCACCCTTCTGCGTGCGGGCAGACAGTGCTGTGTCTGCTTCAGCTCGCAGCCTTGCGCAGTCTGTCAACCTCTGGCCATGCTTCTGGAGGCTGGTACTAGGTCCCCTGAAGCTGTCACCCCATGTCCTGGCTAAATAGGCCCAGCTGCCTCACTCTTGGCTTGTACAGGACAATCTCTACCCCTCTGGGTCTCGTGGTAGCCCTAAGACCTAAAAGATCAAAGATATTGTCCAAGATATTGTCCAAGACATACAAACTTCACTATAAAGTATTGAAGGCCCTGCATTTTCCACCTCAGGAGAATTTTAACTCCTGTCGGGTTATGCTGGCATTTGCTGTAACAAGATAACATTAACCCTAGATTTTCATCAAGGGAGCATTTTTGTCAACTCTGAAAACAGTTAATAGCAAGAACTGACTTTGCACTTAGAATTTAACTCCCAGCCGGTGGAGCTTTTTTCATGTGAACATTGAACTATTTTTTTTCTTTAAACTTGACAGCCAAGCAAGTTTCGAGTGCACTAATGACTGCCACTGCAGCCTAACAAGGAATCTGCAAGTTAAAAGGCCCATTTCCAGTGTTACGTAAACAGTATTTGAACAAGGCGTGATTGTGTCTTGAGAGCATATTGATTTTATAGATGGCTAGGTTTTTTTTAATGTAAACTAACTACTGTAGCAGTTTTCATTGGATAAGGAAACTGATTGCCAAGTTGTACATTTTTATTACCCTGATAAAATTTATCAAGCTGCATGACACTGATTTATTTAAATAGCGAACCTGTAAATAAACTTTGGTTTATTGGACGTGTACTGACAGTAAATCATTTTTCTACTGAGTACGAAGCTCAGGAGTTTCATGTTAATTAAGCAAAGGATGTTCTTTAGCCACAGAACCATTGGCCACGCCCTAGAGATTGAACTAGGGAAGGAGACTATTCCTTGAAATGTCCAGGACGTAGTCTAGAGCGGCAGGATGGGTGGGTGAGATATGCAACTCTATTTATTGCACAGCATGGTATTTGCACGAGTGTCTTCCGGGTCTGTTAGACGTGTGTGTCTGCTGATTAACTCAATTTTGTTAGTCCCTTTTCATCCAGGGGGCCTAGATGTACCCTAAGAGCTTGGACCACTTCTCTTGTTACCATTGAAACAAAAAGCAAGGGTACTTGCTATGCATAAGCATAAAACATAATATTCTTCCCATTGTAAAGCTACGTGTGCCCTAGCAGATGTAATCCAATTGCATGTTAAAACCAGTGCTGAAAAGTCAACATACAACGTTTCAACCTGCCCCCTGAACAAAAACCACAGGCTCACAGAGCCAGAGCTTTTCAGTGCTGCTGTAACTGAGAGGCGGCAAACAAGCCAGCCCCGAGCACAGCAGCAAGGGCAGAGCAGCCGGTAGCTCCCCGCTGGCAGCGCTCTGCGGTGCAGCCAGCTGCAGCCACCCATCGTGGGCTGCCAGTCTGCGCCCTGGGCTTTGGGGCACGCACCGCTCGCAGAAGGCATCTGCACCACTAACTCACAGCATTTCCACAAGGCAGCTTCCTCTCCTGCTTGCCCAGGCTTCACGGAGCCATACGGAGTCCAAGGAATGAGGAACACACAATCAACAGCATTTAAACCACTTGAACAGGAGTGATGATTGGACAGCAAATATAAACATCTGGAAAGAAATAAGAAAGGTACAGACACAAATTACAGCCATGGAGCGCACGGAGCAGAAAGAGCACTGCTTATAGGGAAGAGAGTGATGCCTAAGTGTGGACACTCAATAATACAATGTTTAAGAAGATGAGCAAAGTCACTGTATCAGGTCTGTTTATTTAACAACTGCACATATTTTAAGACTTACATCAATTTCACATAAAAGTTAAAGTTCTCTGTTTAGTGGTACACAAAAAAAAGCTTTAGAAACTTGAAGTCTAACAAGACATGGAAGTGTTCAGGAAAGTGCACTTAAAAGCTGTATGCCAGCAATTTTAAAATAGTTTTTATGCTTTTTAGTATTAAGTGAATGCCTTCGTCACAACCTTAGCTATACATATAACTTCCTTGATCTTCCTTTCACAAGAAACCCGGCAAAAATATCTGAGCTGTCACCGTTTGCACTTGTTCCTTGCTCCTTTCGCAGCCTTTTCATATTCACTCTTTCAGTCACATGAAAATGATTGTGCTGCAATGTTACTGAAAAACCAGCAACTCAGAGCTACATGATGTGTCTGAGCATGTGTATCTTTTATATATAATTTTTATATATAAAAATACACCATATAGTATAAAAATCTCCAGATAAAGGGTTTTTTTTTTTCTTCTCACAGTAGTAAATATATCAACTTAATTTCACAGTAGATACTTGGTTTTACTAATTGGGACAATGATTAAAAGGTATTTCCTTGAAAGCTGGTATTTGCGAGTCCCTCCTTACACAGGTCAGCAGAAGACAGCCCATCCCGCACACTCCGCGGCTCTTAGTTGAGTTAGCAGAGAAAGACCACTTGATTTCTTTAATGATCTCAACCACTAAGGCTGTTTAGTACCTTCTGAATGAATCGCATAGGCAGCTGGTTTGGAGAGGTCCGTGGTTCTGCCCTTTAATATGCTAAGAGAAAAACCTAGCATATCAACTAAGTCAAGTCAACTGCAAGTCAACTGATAGTCTCGGTTGGGAGGACACTGTCAGTTCTTACCTTGCCATCATTGTGCTCACCAGCAGCCAGGTCCACCCGCAGTGCTGCAAGGTCTTTGCATTATTTCAGTCCAGGTGCAAAGTGGACACGGCCATGCACACACTGAGCACAGGCAACACATTTACCCTCGAGTACCATATTTGTCCTGGTGGGACAGCACGTCTTACCTGAGATCTAAGCTGCAAACCAAACCTACCAGGCAAGTGTAACTTAAGAGAGGCCCAGCCCAAAATCCACGCACAAGGAATACCTGTAATGCTGCTCAGCCTAAAGTCACAGGCTAACACAAAAAAAAAAAAAAAAAAAAAAAAAGACAAAGAATCACCCACGTGCAGTGACAACAATGTCTTTTTTTCTACTCTTAATTCACCTGAAGGCTTAAGACCACACTAAGTGTTAGTCCTGAACTACTGTGGATGCACAAGCCAATTGCCCATTTTAGTCTCATTTTGTTTGCACCCAGCTGCCCCACTTCTTTGCAGTATTCAGTTCCGACAACTTTCTAGGTAAGTAAAATCTCAGAAGGAAACTGTACAAAGGCAGCTAATAAGCACGCGTAGAAAAGTATATAAATCACAGTTAACCTGAGTATCATAAAATGCTACAAATGTGGCGTGCGCTTCTTACAGCCTTTGGCACAAGGAACAGGTGAGAACAGTACTAATAAAGCCTAAGAAACTCATGTGCAAATAGAGTTGAAACTTTTCTACTCACGTCCTCTCAAATGCTTAACTTCCAACCCTGAGAAAGGCCAAGTCAAGCAAGCAGAGCTCTAGTTTTTCCATTTCTCCTTGTCAGAAGGATAAAAGCGGTGCGGGTGCACAGCTATACACGTGTTGCTTGCAATACCTATCATTAAGAGAAAACCTCAAAATGCATCTGCAACAGCATGTTTTCAAGTCAACTGAACAAAACCAAAGGAGAAAGTGGTTTTGTTTAAACATGTTTAACGTGTGTTTTTTATAAATCTTTTAAGGAATTCACTCCTAACCGAATCTATGCCCACAGCTCAACTTTTTTTTTTTTTTTTTTAAAGGAAAAGTAGAAATGAGTGTACAGCACTATTTCACTTTACCAGTGATATAACAGGGACCGACCCTTGCTGTCTCCATAAGCCAGCCCTCACTTCTCTGTTCGCCTGCATTCAGCCGAGCAGGGTATCAACATGGGATAAGCAGAGGAACCAGCTCCTTCCACTTCCTCCACAGGATTGCCATTGAAAAAAAAACGAGATTAATGGGACTGTTCCCATTCACTCACTCCACAGCAGGTAGAAGGGGCTTGACACAAGCCGTGAGGCAACGGAGAGGCCGGCCCACCCCTGGGCAGCGCGTGCTTTCCTAACCAAGGCATCAGACCTTGTTGTCAGCAGTCTCATTACATCCCTTGCCCATGAGCTACCCCTGGCGTTGCACGCTCCCCGGTTTTTGCTGTGTCTCACGCACCCAGCGTCTCGGAGGTACTTGGCAGCAGGACAAGGGCCCTGCCTGTAAGGCTTGGCGGTGCGAGATGCGGTTGAATTGTACGTCTGCGAAGAAGCCGCCGCTCACCGCTTCTGTCCTGAAACCAATCTGCTTTCACGGGGGAGTTTCTTCTAAGCTCAGTGCATTTAGCAGAATTCTCTCTAAAACAGACTTAAGCACAGTAATAGATTCATCACAACTTAAAAGAATATTAGGTTACAATCATTTCCTAAAATTCTTTTTTTTTTTTAAAAAAAACCACGTTTTCGAAGAAGACACATTTTCTTTGTAATAAAAATCCAAGAGGAAAAGAAAAGGCATTTTCAGACACAAATCCCAATTCATAATCAAATAGAACGGATGGTTCCATTTCACAGTCAACTGTACAAGTAATCTCAAACACTCCATCTGCGCCAGATGTTTTATTCACGGAAACCAGCCTCTCTTCCCCAGCATACCGAGTAGTCTTCTAAGTGCTGCAAACACTGGCTGCATCCCTGCTGGTTTCCTCTTCTACGTTCACACTTGACATCTCACAACCATTATATTCTCTGCATCTTTAGTTTTAACTCAAGACTTCCAGTTTGCTATTTTACATTAATGGCACTTACTGTAAAAAAACAGAATCAAACTAAACAGTTAGGCACACACACAAGGAAAACAAATCCGCCTTTCATCTCTGCAGCTGCACAGATGACTGCCAGGTCCCACATCGTAGCTGCGCTCTGGAATTCTGGGCCTCAGCCCCTTCGGAGGACTTGGCTTCATTTTATGATTAATCAAAACAGCTTTCATCTAGGAAGTGAGGACATCATTTCCAGCAGATTAATCTGGATATTGGTACTTTAAGGTTCTTAGGTCTAGAGCAACTGAGACACAAGAACCCGCTCCAATTCCTTTAGCCTGTGTGCATGTAGGAAAAAACTTTTCCAAGTGGCTTCTGCCTCTCCCCACCCTTTATCTCTGCACATCACATGACACTGAGCAGACAATGCAGAAGTGCAGAATGACAAAAAGTCCTGTGGCCACCAAGCACGTGGCAGACCATGATTCCTATCGGATTTCTCTTACATCTTGGGAAGCATCTGTGGTATCAAAATGCTGCTGTTATCCTCTTTGTCTCCAGACCAGCAACCAAATACACCACAATTCTGTATTTTGGGTGCAAGCTGACCATGTCCTCTTTACCAGGAGCAAACAGCACAACCCAGATCCCTGGCAATTCAACAGATACATTATTCCCCTAGTTAAAAACCTGTATTAGAAGTAACCTGGAGAGATGGGTGGGTTGGGGAACCCCATGGGAAGTGTCTACTGCTTGGAAGGAAACGGAGCTGCTCCAAAGGGATCCAGCTCTAATGCCTGTTGCTGCTGGCTCTGGGTGCTCTGCACAACCAGTTCTGTGAAGGGCACTGCCCCAAAGTCATCTGTTTTTAGCCCATCACCACTGTGAATGGCCCCATGCAAGGAGCTCTGCCTAGGTCTACCAGCCACTACCACTGTACCGTGATCCCCACGGTTGTCACCCAGACCTTGATGCTGGGGATGACGCATCAAGTCCGGGGGGTGGAAGGGTTTGGCTCCAAAAGGATCCAGCAAACTCTCGTCCGTCTGCAGAGGGTTGGTTCGATCTTTGCTGTCAGTCAGAGAAACGCTTATGTTCTCTTTGGAATCCGAGATAGTCAGGAACTCGTTGCTGCTCTGCGAGTCCCTGCGACCTGCCTTCTTGTGCCTGCGGGCTCGCTCCGGAGTGCGGTAGCTTGGCTTCAACGTCTTTTTTGTGGTGGTCGGGGTGCCGTGGTGGCGCTTTCCGTTGCTCTTGGACACGTCCTGCTTCATGCGCCTTTGGCGCGACGAAAGCTTCTGCAGGTTACGCTGCTGTTTCACCTTGTGCTGCTGCTGACTCCCTGTGATCTCTTCAAAAGGGATGAGTCCGAACAGGTCCTCTTTACTTCCACCAGTTTTTGTGAGAAGGGGAGGCTGAAATGGGGTGCAACCAAAAATATCAACACCCCTTGGAGAAGCAAGGGGGAGCTGAGTCTCAGCTCCCACCACTTGGCCCTCTTGCTGAGCCACTTTTTTGCTGAATGGGGCTTTTGTGAAGACATCAAAGTCATCCTGCTCTTGGTTCAGACCAGGAAAAGCAGCCTGAGAAGAGACGTCTTGGTTACTCTTCTCTCTTGCTTGTGGCTGAGGCTGAAGAGCAAAGAAGGGCACAGCCCCAAACACATCAAATTCTTGGCCAGAGCTCACCTTGGTCACAGTACTTGGCACTTCAGACAAGGAAGTGAGCATTAAATTGGTTTCTCTAATTTCGCTGCTGCCAATGCCCTCTCTAAACCTACTGCTGGAGAGCCCTTCCACAGATTTTTGCTTGGTACGATCCAAGTCCGAGTCAGAGCTTTGCTTCTCTTCCTCCTCCTCTTCCAGCTCTTCCTCAGAGTCCATGAGGAGAGGTCGGTGGCCTAAGTTCTCTGGCTCTGTATCATTGTCATCATTGAAGTCTCCATTCTCACCTTGCAACACTTCCTCATCCTCCTGCTCTTCCTCTTCCTCACTGCTCTTTGGAGAAGGAGGATCAGATTCAAAATCACTCTCTGACTCATCATCACCTTTCACTTGTCCATCTGCAGTTTTCCTCCCTGGCCGTGGATCTCTAAAAGCATGGCTCAGCTTTCCAGTCTTGCTTGGGGTCCCTAAGTTACTTTCCCGAGTGCTGGCTGAGTTATCCATTTGCTTTCCTGGGGAACCTGCAGGTCCAAAGAAAATGTAAAACAAAACTTTAAAAACACTCCAAAAGAATCAGCACGTATTTCCCATACTCCATGCCCACACAAACTAAGAACCAATGCAAGCATTTGTTCCGTAGTTACCTAAAGGAATGAGCAGAGGTGGCCTGGAGAGACAGCTTTCCTAATACCCTATCCTAGTTAAACAGCAGATCCTGCCCAAGAGGAACATACACAAGAGATATATATTTCTTTAGCTTCATTTTTTATTGTAACAGGCTATTTCTTGATATACTTAAGTTCTGATATTGTGGTCTAATAAATATATCCTTCTCATCATGAAAACAAACGAGTGAAAACAAATGAACCAACCAACCCGACACCATACAGCAATGGCAGACAAATCATTTCAGGGCTTGGTACCACCTCTCACAACAAGTGTGAGAGAGTCTAACGTTACTGTCCCACCAAGAAGTCTGCTGTGCAGTTTCTGCTCAGATCCTTGCAGCAACTGAGCAGGCAGGACTCGGAGAGCTCGGCCACAAGCACCACACAAGCATTTCTTGCCTCACTAGCACATGCTGAGGCATACAGAACGGAAAACACACACAAAACCCCATAGCAACATAGCAAGGTATCAGCTGATAGCAGCTCTTTCCACTTGCCACATGGAGCAAGGAGCAAAACTTGGCATGCTGCACTTCACACGCTACCCGACACATATCCCTTTTCCCTAGAGCTGCTTCCCCATCGACTTGCCTATTCCCTGGTGGCACAACTGACCTCAGGCTCCAGTTTCGAGATGCTTAGACGCTCACTGTGCTAACTCCCTTGATGTTATCTAGCAGCATTGCCATGAGATACAGCATACCGGTACCCAGAAAGAAGTACTTCTGTGCTTGAGTCCACTTGGTGGTTTGCAGAGGAGCCGACAGGTACTCCAGACACGGCACCTGCCAAAGCCCTGGCTTGAACCATCCCTGGTTCAATGCCCAGCTCGGCACTAGACGCTCAAATTCCCACCCACCCTAAGGCAGCCTCTTTCACTTACGGCTTTGTTAAATAGTCACTCTCATATCAAGAAACCGAACCTAAGTTTTACAAAATCAGTTCCTTCCTTTAAAAACAAAACCAAAAACGCTGATTTCTACATTCGGGAGTCATTTTATCCTTTCACAATATACTCCAAATTAAAGTAAAAAATTACAATATTTTATATAGATGCTCAAAATCAAGATGACTGAAATGACTTAAAACATCAGGTGATTAAGGATTTGAGCTGTTTCTCATTTGCTTCTGGTGTCAGATTGCTTCTTATCTATTCTAATTTTAAATACTACATATTTGGTTTGCCAATAAATTAAAATCTGGATTACTTGTCTGCTTACTTTAGATTTCCCCAAGGTATAGCCTTCACGTCGTACTATATAACCCCAAGTCATCCAAATCCTGTCATTTCCAATATTTGCTGGAACACTGCAATGTTAACATAAATGCAATTAGATTAAAAGAAAATCTCTCTAGGTTAGATGTTAACTACACTTATGTTCAGGAGGAAAAACCTTTGCATCTGTGTCAGTATCCATGTGAATTTATGCTCACATGTGGTGCTTGCGCATCTCCACTTAATTACTACTTGCTTAAGACAGAATTTTTTTTGCCATCCAAGACCTGAATCACAGTTTTATCTGGTGCACATGGCTCACCCAAATGATTTCAATATCATTCATTAATTATTACCACAGTGGCACCGGCCGGAAAGCAGACTGCAAATGACACCAGCAAGACAGATTTCTACACAAGCAGCTGCTGACTTGCTCAACAAGGAACTGGACCCATGCAATACTGACCTCGCAGCAGCACACCTCTCCAGACAGAAAATAAATTAAGCAGACAGGACTTGATAATGCAAGACAAGACATTTAAAAGAGTGTTTTCTACACATTTAATTTATTACCAGCACACAAGGCATTTCTATGCCTGGCTACTGTCAATAGAAACACGTACGGTTACCATTTTGCTGACAGCAATATCCTGCAAAAGGAAAACAATGATCTCAAGTTTAGAGATTTTTTTTTAAATCTGTATTAGCACCCTAAATTTCCTTCTTGGAACTAACAACTAGAGCTGCACTGAATAGACGAGGTATTTCTAGAAGACAGATTTTTCAGTTGAGCGGGAGCTCACGGGCTCTAGTAACAGCTCAATATTATTCCAACTTGAGCACCCACATGCACGGGAGTGTGGAGGAGAGCACGTGCAGAGCCTCAAGAGCAAAGCAAGGAGCGCCTCAGAGGACTCTGGTAGCTGCAGCTTCCCTTGCTCTGCACTTTTGAGGAATGCAGTTTGGTTTTTGAAGCATTTTATGAGTGGTGGCCTTACTGCTCCTCCAATTCGTACGTTTTGGGAAAAAGGAAGCAGCTTACTTTGTTCTCCAGTTTGCGGTGACACCTTGTTAAGGAACAGTGCTGTCTGCTCCGTGCAGACTTTTGTTTAGGATGGGGCTCTTGAACACGTCCCAGGCTCACAGGGTCACACGTGATCCAAGAAACTCGCTCCCGCGTGTGCTGCATCTTCGCTTTATTCCCGGTGGCAGGGAGAAGATTCCAGGGGAGCAGTGCCAAAACCAAAGCAACAGAACAAAGAACAAGTCCTGCAAGTTTGGTCATTCGTTTATCTGTCACTTCTAAAACCATAACAGTAACCTCTCCTCTAACTACAACTCCACATTCTTCGCTCCTAAAGAAGAGAAGTAAGTAAATACCAAAGATCCTACAAATAGAAATTTAATGCTCCGAAAGAGAAAATTCTGTGGTTAATGACTTCTTAATGCTCTGGTCAAAATAATTTCCAAAATGAAGTATTCCAGCATGGTGATTTCATACCATCTTCTCAATCTGAACTGCTGCAAAGAATCTTCATGTTCATATTTATGGGAAAAAAAAAACACTGAAAAATGTGAAGGAACATCTGTTTGTAATGTGCTGGTCGGATTACTACACTTCTAATCAGGTTTGCATCTTACAGAGGACAATTGTTCTTCACGCAAATGAAAGCCAGGTGGAACATCTTTAATCATATAAGAAGATCCCAATCTTGAAGGAAATTTTCTGTTCTGATGTTCTTTTTCGAGACATCCGATTATAAGCGGATGAATTCCCCTTAACAACGGCAGTAATTACATGCCTTCTGCTGGCCCATCATTGCAGGGTATTGCAGGGGTGACAAGAGAGGGGCATAAGGGCTTTAAGCTTTCTTGGAATTGGGAACATACTGCCGCCATCATTCTAGAGCAATTTGCCACATGTCAGGCGCAGGGATTACCGGCATGTCCCAGCTAAATCTGCACGATTTCTTCGGCAACAGCCAGAGCGGCAGCTGCTGAGTTTTGCAGCTGATTTGCTCTGTTCGCCACCTGTATTTGCAAGGGGAGCAAAAAAAAAAAAAAAGAGGAAAAAAAGGGGGGTCGGGGGCAAGCGGGATGCTGTATGGTGAAGCGTGCGAGGGGAGAACACGACCCAGATTGTCCTAAGGCTTTGCTAAAAGAAAACAAACAAAAATCACCACCAAAGCCTTTCAGAGAGAAAAAGCCAACTACTGCCATAGCCGACACACAGGATTTATTCTTTTCCATAAGAGCAATGCCTTTTTAAGTTAGCCCTTATGTAGAAAAGGAAGTGTCCGAAGAGAAACCGGATAAAGGAAAACCTTCTGTCCCTTCTTCCATCAAATAATATCCATGTCTGAAAGGCACAGGGAAGGAGAGGTTACCAAGTACCATTGACATTTTTTTTCCATGAGTACAAAAGTCATATATGAGCTACTGTTTTAACTGCAGAGTGATCCAAACCTGGAAGAATGTGCAACAGTTTTATCAACTTGCAATCTTGGGCATTTTCCAGAATACAACCCAAAACACAAGATGCTGAAGAAATGTGCACTGATTGCACTGATATTCAGGTGAAACACTACAGGAAGCTGGTCCATGTCACCCTTTTGGTACCTTCTTCTCATGTTTCATATTTCTTGCTAAGTGATAACTCAACATGAGGTTCATTTAAGGCTTCTCCAGATGGCACTGCAGTACAAAGTCCCCAAAGCTGAGGGACAGAAACCAGTAATTGTTCAAAAGCTCCTCAGGAACAATATATAAAAAGTATAGTCAAAGGAGTCAAAGGAGGAGTCACTGACTGCACATCTTCATGTCAGAAGAAAAGCTTCCAGGTGCAAAGTAGTAAATGTGGGGGGAAAAAAAAGAAAAAAGATGAAAACAGCTATTGCAGTAGACAGGCAGTTGACGAAGAAGCAGCAGCCTGAAAATGCAGCCTACAGTCCTGCAAATGCAGTATACAAATATTCATCAGAGCAGTGAAACAGATGACTAGAGCTAGAGCTTTTTTGTAAGAAGAGCCAAAAGGCAGTTCACCAAGGTCCCCTTGGGGAGCAAAATGCCTGACAGGACATCACCTGTCTCAGATCCCACCCTTTGAAGGAACTTCCAGTCCAGATTTCCACATTTCTGTGTCTTACGCAGTCTATCCACATGATTTTGAGAGTTATTTTGAGAATAAATTCAGGTAATTTATTACTTCTCAGAATTCCAGCAATCAAGTTAGGGAAGTGATGTCTATCTAGCTCAATTTAACGCCAGAAGAATTCTGCTAAAGCAATCGTGAGATGTCAAAAAGGCCCCCAAGTACAGCTCAACAGCAAGCCAACTATAATCACAGCATTTGTTTCATGGTTGAAAAACTCTCTCTTCTTTTGCATTTTTGAAACACTGAACGTAGATGTTAAGGAACAGTGTTATAACCAGAATTGATTAAAACACACAGAAATCGAAAGTTTCTACCCCAAAAGGTGATTATGAAAGCCAGTTTTTCCACAACAGTCAGGCATTCGAGAACTCCAAGTTGTCTCCCACATGCCAGGTGACTGTCCTAAGTGATGCATTACCGGCTATTCAACACTTCCCTTTCCCAATAATGACTTGGAAATAATCATTTCTCAGACATCAAGTGGTGGAAATCTTTCTCAATGCAACTATGACTTGTAGCTGTCTCAAGCTGGAACTCACTTCCATCTTCCCATAAACATTCAGGCATTAAATAGTATGGACAAAGGGCTTATATGTATTACTTGAAAAAAAAATCAACTGGATATAAACTGTGGGAAACACTATGTGCTTTGACACTGATTTCCTACCAGCTGTAACAAAAGGGTCTGAGCAGCTCTCCAGCTAATTCCTTACCACTACATACCATACATGTATACATCATATATGCCATAGATGGTGTTGCTGCCTCTTCATTCCCACCCGAGAAGAATCCAGGCAGAGACGCTCTAAAGGATGAGGGGCCTTTGTCTGTCCGACGTGAAGTCCTCCTTCCATCCTCCTGAAGAGCACTGCGAGCTCCAGGGCAAGGCTCCCGGCTCAGCCATTCCTGAGGCCTCATCATCCTTTCCAGGCACAATGATGGAAGGCTTCCAAGTGCAAGCTCGGTGTGTCCCTTGTCCTTGTGCTATCTTCCCAGACCAAGGTGAACAGATCTGATGGCAATTCATTTGCTAGACTACCAGCACCCTTTGGAAAGCTGTCAAGTCATAAGGATGTTACAGGGCCTTTTGCTTTTTGCTGCCATCCCGTATCACCTGCTAGATTAGTATCCAGTCAAGTGCTATGCCCACCAGAAAAACCTTATGTAATAGAAGAACTACTTTGGGCAAATCTACTCACAATTTGTGTACAGCATTTACGAACCTGAGGGCAACTACATCTATTAAAAAAAAAAAAAAAAAAAGCTCTGCCTTGAAATGAAGGAGATGAAGGAGATGCACATGTTCTTAAATTCCAATTACGAGCTAGTAGAACAAAAAGCCACCAAAGAGTCATAAGCAACAGGCACCATTTCAGCCAGCCTGTTACTGTCAGCCATTTCCCCTGCCCCAAAGAGCAGTTGCAACTCCTTACAGTTTTAGCCATTTCAGCATTTAAAGCTCAGCCCTCAGAATAAGAAAATTCATACGATGCCAGGGCTATAACAGAGCTTGCTGACAAAGAGCAGTTGAGCTCATCCACCCTTCAGAAGCCTCAGGAAAGGAGAAGAAAGAAACCCCTAGCTACATGGTGCTCCCAAACTGGAGAATAAGCAACCGACAGCCACCACTTCACATTCAGGGTAACCATTGTTTATTTTGCCCGTGAACTTAGACTCACATACAAAACCGAGCAGCCTTTATGAGCACAGCAGGGTAAATTTTTCCAAACCCCCATGAACAGGGAGGGAGAACCATAGAGCATGTAGAATTAATTCAAATCTTCTTGAGATCAGAAGAAAAGGTGTTTTTACAACCAATTGCCTTATAGAAAAAAGCAACATTCCTTCTTCATCACGTGTGATATGACAACATTTGTGAGAATTAAGCCCCAATAAATTGTCATCAGGAATACAAGATGAAAGGAAACATGGATGCTAGGTGAAGCTCACTCCAAGCCAGGCTATCTCAGCTTTCAAACTACCTAAGAATAGCTCTGCTGTTACATTAAGGCACTTTTATCTTAACACAACCTAGGTAGGTGGCTAAGAAGGTCCATAAGCAATCAAAACTATTCTTACCATTTAACTGGCACCTGGGTTTTACTTCACCTCAATTGCCAAAATTATGAATGAAGTGCTGGCTCAGCTGAATTTTAAGTGACAATTAAGACGGAGGATGATGCAGTGTTGTATTTAAATTTCCAAACATAACATATTTTTTACTCAATCCAAGTTAAAAACAGTAAGAGCTGAACTAAAAAGCAACAGTGAGCACTCCCCTCTGAGTGGATGTTTAATGTATTATACATATGCATATGTGTACACCCCCCATACATATGTATATACACGTATGTACATTATAGGCATACATCCATGCATACACACACATACTCCATCTGCAATATAGCAATGCAGTTAAGCACAGCGAAGCTTACAGTGTTAACCTGGCTCCAGAACCCAAGTGAATGAGGCACTGTATTAAAAGTAGACTAAAAGTAGCATTATTTGATCTTAGTAAGTAATTTGTATTCAGACAATTTTTCAGACTCTTCAAGTTATACATAAATGATTCATACCACGCTCATCTGAGACATCTGCACTTGCAAAGACTACATAGTCTGTACATAGTACAAGTACCAGGGAGTGAAGGCAGAGGTAATTTTTTTCTCTTTGGAGATAATCAACATTTAGAAAATCTCTTGAACTCATCACAAGGCAGCCAGCACCTTGATCCTTCTTTGGTCATTCAATTCAATATACTTATTCCAATAGATAAAGATATATATGTACGAGGTAGTGATGTTACAGATGTAACTTGCCTGCGTGAGAAATGAAAGGAACAGAACCAAAGGGATCTTCGGGAGGATTGTTCTGTGGAGCAGAATGTGGCTCCACAGTCTGATCTGAAGATGAGCTCCTGTGCACCAGTCTGTCTGTAAAAAATAAAATGAAACAGAACAAAAAATAAAACAAAATAAAAAACGGCAGGTCTTATGCCAACATAAAAATATGTAACTGTTTGTGGTGAGGGGGCAAGGTTCCCTGCGTGCGGCTTTTCAGATTGCTTTAAAAATATCCCCGCATCTTGAATCCACACTTCTTTGCCTTCGACAACGTTTATTCACACAAACCTTTTGTAAATCCCCATGTTCCACCAAGCACAGCACAGGCTTCCTGACAGCATGCTTTGTGTGAGAAGGCCCTTAGCGGGTTCTATGTATCATATATGGTCTTTAACAGAAATTGCTAATCTTCTGTAGGTTCTTAAGATGAAACCAGAATCTCTATCAAAAATCACAGAAATCATTTATCCTGTCCAAGTTTTGGCTAGCCTTTGCCAGAACACCAGTAAAGTAAACAATCACAGCACAAGACACTAGAAGGACTTTCTGATAAAACAAGTAACATATCTCACACCAATTAAAAAACATTTGAACATCATAAAACATGAAGAAATATAATATCTGTTTGGTAACGCCTTTGCTCCTTAGGATACTGGACTAGCTTTTTAAGATGAAAAATATTTTTTCCATTCTTTTGAAAGTTAAAGAGGTCCGGCAAGATATATCATCAATTCAGGAGTGAATTGCTGTGACTTTCACAGCAACCCGCCTCGCCGCCCAGCTCCTTGACCATTTGCTGCTGCAGAGGTGCTGCTGAACCGTGCCCAAGCTACACACCAGGCTACCTGCACCTTCGCTATTCCATCCTCCAACAGAGCAACCACGTTTTCCTATAAGCAACCACAACAGACTAGACAGCAAGCTCATCTGCCTTAGATATACATCGATCTTCTGTGCAAAGCCCAAAAGTCCTGAAATGGAAGTTTTACAGCCAAGGGATGCCTGCACATCAATATGTCCATGGCCTGAGACGTCCTATTCTTATCTACGGTTCAACTCAAAGGAACACAAGTTGTGTTTGTTCCATTACACCCCGGCCTCTACTTAAAACATCATCACCGCTGTGGCCTCCAAGGGTAGGACACGAGGCAGTCATCGTCCCCTCAACATATACACTCTGCAATAAGAAGAGATTGTAACAGATTCACCCACTGCTAACAAAACCCCCCGACACCCTTCAGTGGTAGAGCTGCGCACAGCAAAATGTCAGCTTATAGACACAGAGAAGTAACCTGAAGAGCAAAACAGCAGCCGTATGTTTCATACTATTGGCTTTGAGCCTTGATGGTCCAAGTTCACAGAACATCACACCCAAAAGCAACACTTATTTGCAATTTCACTCATAGCCCATGTGGTTGACTCTCGTCAGGGAGCAAGATGGGGTTTTTGACAGTATTGTCTGTGAGAAATGCACTGGAGCTTCCGTGTGCATCTTGACCAAAGCAGACTAAGGAATGAAGCTTCTCCTCTATTATCCCACATGTCCTGCTTCCAGGAGACAATAGGTTGGCTACCTCTTGCCCAGTGTGCAAGCAGTTGGCCTCTAGAAGAATCTGTAGGGGTGCATTGATCTGAACAACTATCGTTTAGGATGATAAACTCCTGCAAATGCCCCCAAGGTAAGACTATCTGAGCACAAACCTATATAAAGTATCATTTTCTTTTACCTTGAGGAAGGACTAAGAACAGCTGATAATAAAATAAATTAATAATAATTAATGAAATAATTAATATTAATAAATTACTATTAATAATAATAAAGGGAAAGCTAGAATTTCAGTAAAACACAACACACATTTCTAATCGCATTAAGACCTTAAGTTATTACATGTATGAAATGATATAGCAGTAGCAGCTTCACAAAAACAGTGATGATTATCCTGAAGGTCTCACAACACCAGTATATATTTAATTTTGCATGTATTTTAAGGCATGCAACTGCTTTAAAAATCAATTATCATAACAAAGCAACTCAATAATACAAAATGAGCTTTTGAAAGCGAAATAAATCGCTTACAATTTTTAACACTTTTTCAGCACCACGTGGTATAGCAAACCGACTTATTTATGTAAGGTACATGAGCTATACAGTACAGGGCAGCCACTAAGTTTAATAACATACAATCCAAATTTGTTCAAACCCCAATCATCAGTTCTCCTTCCTCCAGATGGCAAAATGATTCACAGTAAACTGCAAAATTGAGGAGACTTGGTAGTAAACAGCAGCTTTCTCTCATAAGATATCATCTACATCGTGGCACATTGATCTTTAAGATCTATCTGCTGAAATTCAAGAATTATTAAATGCTTTAAGATGGTTTTATAGATGTAATCCCTAACTGTACAATAAATTCCACGTTTCATTACTCCATACAAATCTGAGAATCAGAGACCAAGAGGACACATAAACATATTTTTCCTCTGATCAGAGAGAAAAGTGAAAAAACCCCTCCACACACATTGCAAAGTAAGTCAAGATGATGCCAAAGGTTCCGAGGACCTGTGAAACTTCCCATGCCATATACAATGCTTATATATGTATGCACAAATTAACTCCTGTCTCCACTGAGGCTCTTGAACTGAAAGGGATCCAATAAGCTTAAGAAAAGCCCATAGAGCATCTCCTATTACTTAGATACAAGCCTGCCATCTAGTGACCTTTTGGTCAAATTACTCTTTTTGTTAGTTTTTTCCTTCTTTCTCCTTCTCTATGCTCAAGGGGCTGAAAAATCCACTAACACAATGCTGGTAATTCTCAAGCAGAACCATGCTGTTATGTTTACTCTTCATACACAGCATATTAGGTCTGTTATCATACCAAGCTCTTCTGTGCATTGAACTGTCTTTACTAAGAAACGAAGAAAAGCTGAAAGATAAATGAGTAAATTTCTTCTTTTCAAATGAAGGTTTTGCATGGATTTATTTAAAAAATGAATAATAGCACAAAATATGTTATTATCTGTTTTTTTTTTCTGCTAGAGATGCAGAGACAGCAGTTAACAACATTTAGCTCCAAGCTATTCTCTCCTTTCCTTCAGGAAAGTCAGTTCCCATCAGGAAAAGGTTAACATCCTTGAAAGAAAAGATGAAGCCTTATCTTCCACTGTACAGTGGATTTTCATCAAGTAAATCACATTTGAAAGATGATTTCCTGCCAGTTATGATGTCTTAAAGAACAAGCTAGCAGTTCCCATTTATTCAGCGTTTTAGCACTGAGAAAGCAATTCCCGTTGGAAAGCAAAGGCCTTCCTGCCCTGCTCTCCCTTGGTGGGTGGCCTGGGACTGCTAGGTGAGCAGCAGCAGCTCTCATCCCTAGACAATTTATAGAATGATCTTACTAATGTGCCGCTTTGCATTTCCCTAGCTGCGAATCAGGGAGTCCAACACATCCAACACCAGAAGGTCTTCCAAGGAGGTGTACAGAGGACGTGTCGGCAACTTAGGTAAAAAATGAAACAGAAACAAAACAAAACCAACCCATACACACACTACTAGGAAAAAGAAAGCTCCTCCTTAAAATGAATTCTTGCTATATTCAGGAAGGCATATTTCTTGCATATCATCTTCCAGCTTTCTCATAATGCCCTTTTAAGCTTAATCTCCTTGTTAACATTCTTTGCTGTATCTGTTTAAAAGACACCAAACCAAAGTCACCAGGATGACCAGAACCATGGTCAGCAATCCATGTGTCAGTTGAAGAACCTCCAGACTGGTGGTGTTACCATTTCTCCTTTTTAAGCTAGTCTACTCCAGATTCAAGAGGTTACAGTTTCAAAACGTTTCAAGGCTTCCTTGAACAAAGTAGCATGCATAAGACATTTAGTTTTACTGTTGAGGGGAAAAATAATACTTTCAACTTTAAGATTAAATCTGCCAAGGAAGTAAAAAAGCTAGCAAGGACAGTTCTCCTGTTGCATGATATTTATATAGACTGCATCTGCATTTCCAAATGCAAGATCCAAGTCAAAACATTTATTTAGCTTTTGACTGACAAGTACAATACCCATCACATTCCTTATGGATCACCAGGAAACACCTCTTAGCTAAATTTAAACAAGCAGAAATCCAGGAAAAAACATATTCAACCAAGAGCATTGATTTCTTTCAGCACGTGACATCAACTTGACCGAGTTGTTCATTTCAAGGACCTTGCCCAGAGTATTTACCATCTGTATTTTAGACATAGTCATGTCTTACACATCTTGCAAATAAACTTGATCTTGACAAAACTAGTTTTAGGAAGGACATCTAATGAATGCATGTTAAACAAGTGAGGTAAGCAAGTAATTCCAAGGAAAAATCATGGAGAGAACTGGCTTAGAGCAAAATCTTTATTCATCTATTGCCATATCAGAACAATTAAGCAGCCCTTACACGTAGCCACTCATCAAAAAAGACATTACAAAACATTAACATAATGTAATAGACCCATTTTCTTTCAGGCATTTTTAAAGGGCGTAACAGACCCAGAGAATATTCTGCTGTAGTGTGCAAGAATAAAGCTCAAAAGGAATAAAGCAAGCAGCTAAACCATCCCTCCTGACAAAATAACTCTGCTGTTTAGAACTCATTCGCAATCAAGATGACAAAAGCGGTATTTAAGAGCTAAGATATTGCCATTTCTGCAGTATTGGAGCCAGTAACTACCAGTCTTTGGACAGCGAGTTCCCATTGCACACATTTTCAAGAAGGAAAAGGAAGACGATGGGCCCATCTCTGCCCTCAAATGCTCAGAAAGAATTTCCTGTACACAGACTGCACAGCCCTTAGACAAGCCAGCGTTGGCACTGCTGAGCCACTACAGAGCCCTTATTTACTGGGAAGCGAAATAAGCCTTCAAGCGTCCCTTACTTGATCTTAGCAGGTCAAATTCTCTGTCCAGCAGCTCCTCCTCTGTCAGCTTGGAAAAATTGTCCTCTCCAAACGGATTCCAGCCTGACATATCAGGTGGGTTATTGATGCTCTGCTTTGGGTAATGGGAAATGGTCTCAGCATCAGGAATACCTGACCTGTAAAGTCAGTTTACAGAAGCAAATGGGGAAACGTTACAGGATTGTCTATTGGAGTGAAATTAGATGCTGTACTTCATTAGGTGAAAACAATGCAGACAAGTAATTACATATGTATTAACAGCTTATCCCAAATGCATTCAAGAGATGATTTCAGGTAACGCACATCACTTGTATTATATGGTTCAATTGCATCATTTCTGTATGTTATCTTCTTTTACGTTTTGTTTTCTACTTTATTCTTTGTAGTCAAAATAAACAAAACCCATCATGAAGGTGACCTCTAACAACAAAAACAATTTTACCCTTGTTCCTTGTTACCCTTAATGACAAGAGACTATTGAAACACAGATACTGAAGCTTTTTCCCCCTTTAAGACAACTTCTTTTAGTTAGGATTCAGAGAAGTCATCCTTCATTATACTATGCTAAACCAGTTTCAGTCTGTGGGCCTTTGCAAAGTGGTGCACAAATCAGAACTTGTAGCAAATAAATCCCGACAGTAAAGACCCCCTTAGAGAGGGCTCCCCTCCAATGGGATGGGAAGATTCAAAAAAACAACTTAAGTAGGATTGAAGAGGGCTTTCATACAACCAGTACCTCTAATGCAGGCTACGGTCTACCCAGACGACAAGTCTATGTGGGTTATCTGTTAAGTGCCCCACTCTAAAGTAAAATAAAAAATCCAAGTGTGTAATTATTTTTAGAAATTCATCATTTCAGGCACCTAACTCCTGAGAAAGGACTAAGAAGCCATTTAGCAACGCAGACAACCCAGAACCCTTGGGCAATCTGTGACTGAGTACTTGCCTGCTTGCAGTATAAGCAGAATCCACTGCTGTCCCAACGTGCACTGGAAGCGATGCAGGGTAGGAGATTAAGGCTGGTGAGAAATCTTGTGGAGAGGTGATATATTCAGGAGATGGTGCCTGTTTTGACTGTTGTTGCTGCTGAGCAAGCAGCTGCTGCTGTATGAGCGCCTGCTGATATTGCTGCACCTAAATAAGATAATCAAGTTATTAAAATTCACATGACCCAGTCTGAAGCCAAGCAACAAGTCTTCCAGAAAAACACAGAAAGAACCGAGAAAGTTTGGTAGCTTCTGCAGAAGCAAGAAGCCACAACTCCACCATGTAAATAAAAAAAATGCTCCAGTAAGTTATTCACAGATACCATTTTTCCTCTTGAAAGTTATTACTGCTTAGCTTTTTACAATTACTGCAAGCTGAGCACATGCTATAGCAGCCCTAAGAAGTCTGTTTCCATCACAGACATTTGACAGACTAACATTTCATGACCTCCTCCTGGTTCCTCCTCCTGGTTTTAGAAAAATGGATTATACCAACTAGGTTTCTTGCTTGATCCATACGTTTAGGCAAAGGATGGTTTCCAGCATGCTGCAGCAGCATATAGCACTTGCAACAATTATTTCCTCTTTAGTAAAACCATTAAGAAAATAATTATGTGATGATAGAATATTTGATCATTTCAACAGAGAATACCATTAATAGCCAAGGTCTTTTGATGTAGTTTTACAAGGGCTTAAAACAATAAATGACAGATTCAATCAATATAACACTGACAATCAGCAAATAACACTGATCATCAGCAAATAACAAAGTTCATTTCTAAAAGTATCCCTTCCACTGCACATTCCAGTGCAGTAACAACATTTGTGCTTTCAGTATGCCCTTGGGCAAGGATTTGTCTGGGTTAGATAGGGTGGTAATCCTTATAATTCAGCTAAGCTTACACACGTACCACTCCATTATAACATCCATCCTGAAATAATTATTTTAAGAAATCCAGCAACATAAGGGTGCCAACTGTACTGGTCATATCTTGTTTTTAATACTTTTTTTATGACTTAGCCATTTTATTTGGGTTCCTCAGATAATAAGTGCACGTGCAATAGGACCTGAAACAGGACTTGGGAGCTGTTTGTCTGTAGATGATTTCAATACTTGGTCATCTCAGAGACATTTTAAGTAAGACTTCAATGCCACCATGCTTTCTAGCTAATACTTCTTAGAAAAACATGCATTTGGCAGTGTGGTCATTACTGTAAACCTTAACCACCAAGTATCCTTTCAAATCACTATACAATTACTCAATGTGGATGAGAACCTATTTCCTCAAATTAATAACAAATGCATAACCCCAGATGAGTTGTCTCAACTGAGTTTTGGTCAATACCTTCTCTCTTTTTTGAACATTAGTTCAGCTGCTCAGTATTCACCATGCATTCTTTAGGTCATTAAAACGCTCAGGCTCTTGTATGCTGCTACTTTGCCATGGACTGCTAAATATATCACATATTTTTACTACTGTAGCATCTCTGCTCCATGTTTCACATACCATAGCGGGATACTGAGACTGAGAAGGTTGCTGCTGGTACATAGACTGCATCAACAACTGCTGCTGGACCATCTGCTGGTGCATTACTTGTTGATACTGTATTTAGAGAGAAAAAGCAAGTTTTTAACAAGTCACTGTTCCCACTCCTAAATTATATGAGTATATAGCACAACCACTGGACAAAGCATCACCACTGTGCCCCAAGAGCATTTTTCTGCTAAGAAGCCTCTTAACAAAAAACCAGTTTGCTATTCAGCTTCTGCATTTTAACAGCAGTGTGCCTGGAGTCCTTTGGCTTTATTCCACTGCAACTAACAGCAGTCTTCTGAGCAAAAGAGAATACCTACATATTCTGCTCTGCCTTTTAAAGGAACCTTGTTTATCACCTCAACTTCTACTATTTTAACAAGTACTGAGCCCCTTTGGGGAAAGTGAAAATATGTAAGGAAGAAAACACACACACCACCCTAAACAGATATGCTTTAAGTAATAACCCTGCCCAACAACATCCCCCAGAACTGGGGGGACAGTAAAGCAACAGTCGTTGTTGCCTTACAGATGAATATGGTGCTGCCTCTGCAGAAGTACACGAAACTCACCCGTAGAACTGCTTACACTAACGTGCCCAGAGGCTCATTAGGCTGCAACTTTTGCTGGCCCTCACGCCAGTGTTTTTAACCTTGAAGAGAACCCTCCCCTTTGAGGCCTGGGCTCCGGCCAAGTCCCTGTCCTGGGTGACAGGGAAGTACCATGTCAGGATGCCACGATACGAACGCCACGTCAGAGGTCACCACTCGCAAAGAAAATGCAAGTTACCGTGACCTGCTGATGTAGCCCTCTAAAAGCTGGGCCCTCTTGCCACGACTTTGGAGACCTCACTTATGGAAGGACTGCATAAGTCCCCCCATTTGCCAGGGAGGGTCTCTAAGTTCTCGCCGCAACAGGGGCTCCCCAGTGACTGCAGATCTGGATGATGGTAACCTGCTTAGGCAACTAGTGATGTTATCTTTTTTCTTAATTACTAGTCTCTTTCTTATATAGTAATGGTTAGGTGCATTACCTTCCTGACTTTGTCTGTCACTAAAACCAAGGACATAATACGCTTATTTTTTTGTTGAATGTATCGTTCTATATTGCCTAAATATTAATAGTAAACCAAGACTGGTCTTTCCCTTGGTGTCTGGTTCTCTCGGTCACCCCTGCTGTCAATTGGCCAAACAAGAAATGATGTAGTCAGACAGACTTCGAACAATATGGCTTTATGAACATAAAGAACATGTATATTCTTTAAACAGAATGTTAAACTGGCACTTTTAAAATATAACTGGGATGCATTGACCCCCACCTGACATCCCTGGATGGGAAGACCTGCCCTATAGCTCCCTCTCAAGTGGGCTAAGGTTGGAGGACCGTGTGAGCCCTAGGAAAGTCGGGTGATGGAAGCCGAGCCACCGGATGTAATAAAATGGGTTCAAGGGTTGCCTGTTGAAGAAGGAAAAGAAATTGTGGGTTCTACATGACGGGGATGGATTTTGTTGACAGCCTATGGGAAGCAGCATCAAAAGAAGGAACGGTTGTTGTTAGAATGCTCCCAGAGGGAGACAAATATGTGATTTGCAGAGTCAGGTTGTAGTGCTACAAGTTACTTGTCGAGAAACTGGATACTTATCTGATTGTGGCCGATAAAGGCTGCAGTTTGAGCTGCGTAGTATAAATGTAAGAAAGGAAGGGGACGAGTTAAGCACAAGAAAGTGCACGTAGTGACAGCAGAAGCAGGTGTACAGTGGGACTCAGAGAAACGGGATGGTGATATTGGGGACTCCCTGGATTCTGAGGAGGCTGGTTCCCCAGATGAATGTGTACATGTACAATGTATAGTACATGCAAAACCCATGTGGAGGCGAGAACTGGAGGTAGATGCTAATGGACTACATGTGAGGAAGGGTGTGCTTGAAGATTTTATTCAACACAAAGTTAACTGATACAACTGAAAGGTTATGCAGAGGCCGGGGGAGTCCTTGCTCTCGTGGATGGTGCGTTCACATGATCAAGGAGCAGCACAGATAACCCTGGATGGAGAGGATCCTAAGAAATACTTGGTCTTGAGCTCAGAGCTCTTTTGTACAGAGCTCTTTTGTATTTAGAAATAGTGTTCAAGAGAGAGATTTGTTGGTCCCGGCTGCTCAGGGAGGTAATAATAAATATCTCATGGAAAACAGTTAGCCAGGATCTAATGGTACACTTTGTGAGACCGTAGACAGCCAATAAAAGAGGACAGAACGAAGCTGGCCATTTTGATGGCAGACACTGATACTCCAATGCTCAATGCTCCATGTGTTACCAGCAGGAATAGACTAAAACTGCCCCACCAGCAGATAAAAATGTGATTATGACCCCTCTCATTAATGAGACAGGGAACCCTTTAGATGAGGTAACTGAAAAAAACACAGCAGTTGGGTGGCCTGGGGAATGGGGCCCCTGGGACAGGGGGGACGAGACTCGAAACAATTCCCAAGGCAGCGAAAACAAGATTTCTCAAAAAGAAATGCTTACTGCTTTATTAAAAGATGGGATGTCTCATGGTAAGATTGATGGTATCCCAACCCCTGCTTTATGGAAGGTATATAAACAGAGAGGGCTGAAGAAAGAAAGTGCAGATTTCTAAAGCAAAAAAACCCTGGAACAACTCAGCCTCTGGCACCTGCTCTGGAGCCCTGACTGGACTTCACAGGCCCTCGTGGAGGAACCAGTGCAGATGGAGCAGCCCATCCAAGGAGAAGGAGGATTCAGAGCCGTACTCTGGCTTGTATCCTTGGAAAGAGCCTAGGGATATAGTTCAGCATAAGAAAGAAGAATGAAATGATGGCCCAGCTCCAGTGCCATGGGCACAGAAGGACTAGTGACCCCCACACGCAGCTTCAAGTATTTCGGAAAACACCCAAAGCGCGACAAAAAGTTTCAGATTTTGCAGTGCCGCAAAATTAAAAGGAGGCACAAAAATTCACTGGATTATCTGGTTTTTGGAGACAACGTATTTGGTGATTTGGGACAAATCTTAACCCCGCTGTATAAAGTAATGAGGAAAAAATATTAATTTGAATGGGAAAGTAGGTTGCCTCTGAATTAGCTGTTCAAAGAGCTTTAGATTTATGGCCCGCACAAATGGGAAAGTGGAGTTAAATGCATCTGTAAATGGGTCTCATGTTAATGGAGACTCTGGCAGAAACAGGGAAAGAAGGTGACTCCCTTGGGGTTTTGGGGGAAAACATTGTCGGAGGCAGGAACTAACCGCACACCTTTTGAAAAACAGCTATTGGCACGTTATCGGGCATCGGTAGGAGCAGAACAGCTTCCAAGGGGACATGAAGTGGCTCTTCGTTCAGAAATTCCTGTTATTCAACGGGTCAAAAGCTCTCTGAAAACCCATGGAATGGGGCACGCTCAGGAGTCGAGTATTATCACGTGAAAGTGGCACCCTCAGGATAGAGCCACAGCTGGCCTTGGAGGAGTAGCTCCCCTTCATGAGTGAGTAGCTACTGCCCCCATGAGGGATCGAGGGGAAATTCCCGGTTTTCCAGCCCAACAAGAATCCCCAGTACGATGGGGAAAAACTTTAGGTCAACTAATAACCGCTGGAAAAAGAATGTGCTTGGTTTACAGATGGGTCTGCTCAATATATAGGAGGAAAGAGGTTTTGGAAAGCGGTACCTTTCCTTCCTCATTCAGAGAAGTTTTTAGAAATGAGGGGAGAAGGCAAAAGCAGTCAATATACTGAACTATATGCAATTTATATGGCTCTGAAGCAGGAAGATTTAGGATAAGGCCATTTATATACTGTTTCCTGGTCAGTAGCTAATGGGTTAGCTACTTGGCTGCCAACATAGGCAGCGAAAGATTGCAAGATATAACCCAAAAAGGTCCGGGGAAAGGAACTGTGGAAAGATATCTGGGAAACGGTACCAAGAACTAACATGACTGCATTTCATGTTGATGTCCAGAGCAACATGGACACCTTAGAATAACTTTGTAATTCTGCTGCAGTCAACCAGGCAAAGATTTCCCAAGCTGGACCAGAATTCTCCTAGCAGGAGGATCACGAAGGCTCAGGGAAACGGGTGCACCAAAAATGTGGGCATCTCGGAGAAAAGACCACTGACAAGAGGGCTCGGGAACGTGGCATTTCAATGTCACTCAAGCTCATCAAAGCTGCAATTGCCCAATGCTCCATGTGCTGACGTATTCACAACCATCCGGTGCCAAACACTGCAAAGGGGCAACTGGGGAGAGGAAAATTACCAGGACAAATTTAGCAAATGGATTACATTGGACCTTTACCCCAGGACTGAGGATGTAAATATAGTTGTACTGCTGTAGGTACATACTCTGGATATTTAATTGCCCATCCTTGTAATCAGGCTACTCATCATAGTACTATTTTAGCTAGGGACAAAATCATTTTTTATTATGGAATTCCACTGCAGATTCAGACCGATAACAGGCCTCATTTTCCAAACAAGATTGTTCAACAATATGCTGAGCAGCAAACTATTCGGTGGGTTTTCCATAAGTCATATTACCCCCAAGATGTGGGACTGATGAATGGTTGAATGGGCTATTTAAGGAGCAGTTGAGAAAACTGGGAGATGGACACCTGTCCTGCTGGAGAACTCAGTTCACAGATGTGCTAGGTATCCTTTAAAATAGGCCCATGGGGCACACAAAGACCCCCCTGATGCACATGATGACATGAAATGATGAGTGAAACTTGGGCTTACTAGGAAATTACCCCAAGGGCAATGGCCCCCTCCCAGGCCATCCCAGAGGCTGCAGGGCTGGACATCTACACACCGGAACTGACTAGAATAAATCCAAACCAGATGAAAGGTATAGGAACACTAGAACAGGGATTGAGATTCCCCTAAAACACTTAGGCTTAGTAACTGCTCATTCATGCTTAGCTTTGAAGAATGTTCATGTCATGGGAAGAGTGATGGGTGGAGAATATCAAGGAGAGATTCAAGTAAATCTATTCAACAAGAGCAAACAAGATTTGGTTATTCTATCCCATGACAGAATTGCACATACTGATACTGCCAGTTTTAAAAATGTTTGTGAAAAAAGGGGATCCACCTCAAGTCACCACCATTCATGGGGACAAAGGGTTCAGATTCACCAGTTTTAATAACAGAGCTCAAATATGGGTTCAAATGCTGAATGGTCCCCCTCAACAAGCTGAAGTAATAGCAGGAGGAAAGGACACCACCATTTTGATCATGAAATCTGGGCAACAAAAATGGGAATACATCCCTGCAATGACATGTTATTTACAACACTACCTACGTGGTATAGGATTTTGTCTTGCACGTCCTACATGGCTGAGCCTATCTGTTGACTCCAACAGCTCCTTCGGAAGAAGATACTACCCATGGCACCTGGGCTGAGAAACCAACTTTTGTGGAGGACAGAGAGGAATGAAACACTGAGGCTAGTGTTGGTATTGTCCGTAGTATGCGGTCATTACAACCCAGTTAGGAATTGGGGAAAACAGATTTTTAGCCTTAGGGGAAGCAGCGGCAAACACACTCAAGTCTCTGCCAGTGCTGCGTTTGCAGGAGCCAGGCAGAGTCACAGATTGGCCTTGGATAGCCCAACCACTATGGCCTAGGTGGTGGGTTAGTGACCCAAGTGACATGCGTGAAGGACAGGCTTCTGGACTGAAGACAGTGATACTTGGCGCTTTTGCTTTCACAGAAAAGGCATCTGCTGCCTTAACGGGAAACGAGGATGTGGGGTTCAAGTGGGGAAAAGTATTTGTGAATGGTCTTTAGCTTGGCCTTTAGTCTGTTGGACCCCTGATTACCCTCCTTATGATTGTTATTCCTTGTTTAATTCCTAGTGGTGTAAAATTAAGCACGCCATACCAGGAATGCAGGTGGTAGTGATGTCTGAAGAGAGTAACCAAGAAACACCAAGTGCATAGCCCAGCCGTAATTCCTCTCTAAGTCAAAGGATCGACTGAATTCCTAGGACCTGAACGACAGGCCCAAGTCAAGGCTGACTTACAGATGAACCCAGTAGTGCCTTAGAAGTACACAAAACCTGCCTGTAGAACTTCTTACGCTATCCTGTATGGAGGCTTATTAAGCTCTAACTCTTGTAGAGCCTCATACAAGTGTTCTTGACCTTGAATGGAACCCTCTCCTCCAAGGCCTAGGCTTTGGCCAAGTCCAGGTCCCAGATGATTCGGTCCGGTCCTGTTCAACTTATTCATTAACGACCTGGATGAAGGGCTGGAGTGCTCCCTCAGCAAGTTTGCYGAYGATACCAAACTGGGTGGAGTAGCCGATAGCCCTGAGGGCTGTGCTGCCATCCAGAGGGACCTGGACAGACTGGACGGTGAGAAACCTCATGAGGTTCAACAAGGGCAAGGGCAGGGTCCTGCACTTGGGGAGGAATAACCCCGGACACCAGTACAGATTAGGGGTGGACCTGCTGGAGAGCAGTCCCGCAGAGAGGGACCTGGGTGTCACGGTGGACAAGTTGACCATGAGGCAGCAGTGTGCCCTGGTGGCCAAGAAGGCCAACGGGATCCTGGGGTGCATTAAGAAGAGCGTCTCCAGCAGGTCGAGGGAAGTGATCATCCCCCTCTACTCAGCCCTGGTGAGGCCACATCTGGAGTACTGCGTCCAGTTCTGGGCTCCCCAGTACAAGAGGGATGTGGAGCTGCTGGAGAGAGTCCAGCGCAGGGCTACGAGGATGATCAGGGGCCTGGAACATCTGCCCTATGAGCAAAGGCTGAGAGAGCTGGGTCTGTTCAGCCTGGAGAAGAGGAGGCTGAGGGGGGACCTGATCAGCGTGTATAAATACCTCAAGGGAGGCAGTGAGGAGGAGGGGGGCAGCCAGTGATAGAACTAGAGGAAATGGAACTTTGCACAGGAACTTAAGGAAGCATTTCTTCACTGTGAGGGTGACAAAGCACTGGAACAGGCTGCCCAGAGAGGTTGTGGAGTCTCCTTCTTTGGAGATTTTTAAAAACCTGCTTGGATGCAGCCCTGTGCCACGTGCTCTAGGTGACCCTGAGTGAGCAGGGGGGTTGGACGCGATGACCTCTGAGGTCCCTTCCAACCTTCGGCATTCTATGATGCTATGATTCACGAAGAAAATGCAATTTACCGTGATTTACTGATTTAGCTCTGCCAAAGTTGGGGCCCCTTGCCCTGAGACATTGCAGACCTCCGGGAGGATGCACGGTGTAAGGCCTCCCACTTGCCGGGGTAGTTCTCTGCATCTTCACTGCACTAGGGGCTCCCCAGGGACTGTGGGTCTAGATGATGGTAACCTACTTAGGCAATCAATGATGTATCTTTTGCTTAATTACTCATCTCCTTCTCATAGAGGAACGGTTAGCGGCATTGCCTTGTGGATTTTGCCTGTTGCTAATACCAAGCATGTAGTGAGCTCAGTGTTTTGTTGAATGTATCATTCTGTATTGCTTTAATATTAAGAGTAAACCAAGAACAGTCATTCCCTTGGTGTCTGATTCTTTGTCGCCCCCGCTCCATCGAGTGGCAAAACAAACAGCAATAGGTGTCTTGGATAAAATCCAGAAGCTTTCTTCCTCACCTAAATCCCTTTCTGTTTCCGTTTTCAGCATCTATGCCACAGTACACTAACATGTGAACCAAGCTACTATATTTGACAACATGCACAGTGGAGAGTGTTACAAAATGTAGTATTCATTAAAAATCCCAACTGACTGAAGAACTACAAAAACAAAGCTCTTGATTGACCGAAAAGAAGACAAGCATAGTCAGATGGTCTCATTTAGAAATGCTTATTACAGGCATAGCATTAACCCCTAGGATCACTTTTCACATTTCCCTCAAGCATGTTTACACAAGCTCCAAACTTTTTTATTTGTGCACAACAGCGTTGATTGAAAGTTGAAATTCAGGTTGAGGCAGCAAAGCTAGACAGTGTAAACAAAGCAACTTTCCATACATTATTACAGTATCTATGCACCGCACAGACACAGGATCCGAGTTTAACCAAACAGGAGCTGCAATCATGGCGTTGCTGCTATCTTAGAAGCATCTCTAACAAGGCTGACTTGTACCTGCTGCATATAAGGATCCTGAATTACAGGCTGTTGTTGCTGGTGATGTAGCTGGTGCAACTGCTGTAGTCTCCAGTCGCCCTGTTGCAGCTGCTGCAGCACTCTGTTCTGCTGCGGATGGGGCTGATTGGTCCCTTGAGGCAATAACATTTCTTGCCCATTTCCAGGTCGCGTGGTTCCTGAAGCATGAAAAAGACACTGTTAACATAGTGATTTCCCCATTTTTAACTGCAGAACTGCCCCTGCAGTTAGTCTCATTTTCTTAAATAAAAATCAACAAGTTGAAATAATCTGTAGTTCACTTCCCAGTTTGTATATTGGTTCAGCTGATAAATATACACTAAAACTGCATATGTAACCTTTTCCAAAGATAAATTGCAGGTTTGGCAATCCACATTTTCCATTTGCAGGATGCGAGACTCTTCCTCTTGCCTTCAGTCTACAGTGATCCAAACAGCTAGTTACAGGGACTCTCCTTTACTAACACTTGAAATTCAGTTACTACTATCTCAAAATCCTTAAATCTATTTCAACTCAGAACTAGGATCCACTCTTCCCTTCCTTGCATCTCCACATTCTCATCAGAACCATCTCTGATGAAATCCTTCAAGTGAAAACAGGCAGTAAAACCTTTTAGATTTTCCATGTATAATCCAAACCACAAAATCCCCCAACAGCCAAGACAACATCCTGGGACTTTGTAAGGCTGGTTAAATGTGGCTTTCTGCATTTGAAAGCACACTACACACTTTTTTCCCCTTTTAAGGGAGAACTATTGCCTCGTATACCTATAATTCGAACAGAACCCTTGATGAGTGTATGCATTCGTTTTCGTAGCCTTTTAAGAAAACCATTACTAACACACAGTCTCTCTTGCGTGCTGCATGCGTACTCTGGCCGGCCCAGACTTCATCTGTTCCACGTCACAACAGGTTGCACATTACAGGGACACTAGGCAGTGAAGACAGCTTACATCTGGGACACTAACATACGCAGTGGCCTTCCAACTGAAGGCTTTCCCTATGCCATCCCTGAAGCTGTTCTTCAATGAATCCAAATGGCCTCTTACTAACAAATAAACTCAAAACAAACAAAAGAGGCCACACATACACAAACACATCCCATAACAGGGCAGTATTTTTTCTGTGACAGGTTCATCACAGGTTCAACAGCCCAGTTACTCTGCCCCCAACAAATCGCTTGGGCAAATTCAGTTTCAGTGGAGTATCTTCAGACTTTTGGGATTAAAAGACAAGAACCAAGTGTCTTCCAGCCAGAACGGGCATGCTCAAAGCTAACATCACCTATACTTAGCAGAGTCACTAGTCATTACGTCACTCCAGTCTTCAAAAAGGGCAAGAGGGAGGAGCCGGGCAATTACAGGCCGGTCAGCCTCACCTCTGTCCCTGGAAAGGTGATGGAGCRGTTSATCYTAGARWGAATCTCCRGGCACATGGCGGAGAAGAAGCTGCTGAGGAGCAGTCAGCATGGATTCACCAAGGGGAAGTCATGTCTGACGAACCTCATAGCCTTCTATGATGGGGTGACAGGCTGGCTGGATGAGGGGAGAGCCGT